GCTCATCTCCCTCCTCCAGAGGACTGGATGGGGTAAGGACATCATTCTTTCCATCGCAGCTTCAATCAAGCCATCTGACTCGTGCTGCAGCCCTCCTCCGGATACAGCCACTCGCATTCAACCCAGTAAGCCCACGACCGACAGGTACAGCAAGGGCGATAACAACCCTCTCCTTGACCAGACCAACCGCCGACCTGGTCCTGACAGACATACCTCCCGCAATGGTACCAGTACGGATCTCTCTCAACGCCGCGCCAGCAAGTCTCGATAACTTTACTGACTGAATTATAGATACCGAGGACATCGTCCTCGGGCCTCCTCGAACGAGCTTTGCATCCGCTTCTGTGCGGAGCAGACCCGGTGAGAACGAACGAAACGAAAAGACCTCGAGGGATTTAGACGCTCGTGATCGCTTCAACGCTTTCCGCAACAGAACTGGAGAACCAGAATCCAGTGATCGTTTTCGAGATCGAAGGACGAACAATTATCAGCGCCGCGGGGATGCTGATCAAGACAGCGATGGTTGGAGTACGGTCAAGCCGCGCGGCAAGAGCTTTGGTCAAGAGGGCGCTGAGATCTTCCGCAAAGGTCGAATGGGCGGAGATGATCGTTATAGCAAAGACAGCGATAACGCGCGCGAGCGTCCCAGTCGGAACTTTGATCGGCATTCGCGAGACAAGGATGTCGAAGAGGACGACAATCCTCGTAGAAACGGCTTGAACAGGGGCAAAACGGATCCATGGTTTAACAAGGAGAGCGCCCACGAGCCGACAGAACGACCGTCGCAACGTGAGCGCATTGATCGCGCGAAGAGCTGGCGCGATCGGAACACTGACGACCGTCCCGAGGAGACACGCCCACCTCGTGGCCATGAGAAGACTTATGAGCGTCGGTGGGACCGTGAGCAACGGGTTGAGCGGGAGCCAGAATGGCTAGACGAGCCGCTTGAACCGAAAGCTCAGGGACACACCGAAGAAGACTTCAAGAAATTCATGGAAAGCATGAAAGCAGGCCGGGGTGGTCCCAAAACCGAAGAGAAGCAACCCCTGGCATCCAATCCCTCCGCGTCAGACTCGGGCTTCTTTGGTGTCAAGTCGGCACCTGCTGCGGAACCTGGCCCGGACAAGTTCTTTGCTGCATTTGGAACGACTGCCGGTCTGGATGTCGGCAGCAGTAGTACTGCGGAAGTCAAGATGGAGCCTGCGAAGCCAAAGGCGGCGAAACCGTCCAGGTTCACTTCTTTCTTTTCGGCTCAGGGCGGCGACAGTCGAGGGCAGACTGAGCCAGCAACACCTGCAGCAGGGCTGCCGCCCGTAAATGGAGGTAATGCACCTCCACCACAGCCTGACGTGGAAAAAGAGGCGTTTGCGGTTTTGCTCCAGAAACTCCAGCGTCAAACATTCCAGACAGGTGCTACACCTCCGAACGCTGGCGGCTATGCAGAGCCTCCAATGCAGCAGCAGGAGATGCGGCAGAAGAGTGCAGTCACGTCGCCGGAACCTTATCAGCAGTATGGGCTGGATCGAGAGCACCGCGTTCGGTCGACTCAACCCTCCGTTCATGAGATTCTCGCGCCGCGTCCAATGCAACCACCGAGCCAGCCTCCTTCAGCTCGCCCTGAGCAGATGCTCCAGGAACTTGTTGGACAGCGCCACCAGGCTCCGAGTCAGGGCAGTGGTCGCATGGAGCAGAACCCTACTGTCAACAGCAATACGGAGTTCCTCATGCGGCTGATGCAGAGCGCTCGTGCGGCCCCTGAACCACCGCGCACCGAACAGTTGCTCATGCGCATGCCGCAGCCGCAAAAGCAAGCTGCCATTCCCCAGCTGCACGAGCGGGAACATGATTATCAACGCGAGCGAAGTACTTCGCAGCACCAGATGCGAAATCAAGGCCTCGGCGGCTACATGGAGGAGCACTTCCATCAGCCTGAGGGCGATAATCGTCGCCAACAGCCGCAACCGACTCAAATTCTGCAACGACCACCTCCTCCAGGCCTTGATCATCAACTTCCACCGTGGATGCAAGGAGGCGGCGGCGGCCAGATGCCCCCTGCTCAGCGCCCGATGATACCTCCCCCTGGCCTCGTCGGCAATCCCCCTAATCGAAACATCCCTCCTCCTGGCATGTTCCCTCCCAACTTTCCACCAGGAGCGTTTCCTCCTGAGGCCATGGCTGGCCCTCCACCCCGGAACATGCAGCCCCCGCCTGGCTTCTTTGGTGGACCACCACCGCCCGGTTTCATTCCACCTCCAGGTATGGGAGGGTTCCAGGGACCCGAAGGTCTAGCCTTTGGCGGTCCTTTCGACGGGCGTGGCATGCCACCTCCTGGCGCCGGCGCTGCCTTCCGTCGGCAATAGGCCCTATATCAGGAATCCGCATCCGTCTAAGTTCACTGTCTCTCAACGAATCCAGAACCTTATGTTGGAGTAATTATAAGAAAACGGCTCGATGCGAGCTTCACTGGCCCATGTGCATGTCTAGAACAGGATTTGCTACGTTTAAACTACACGCTACACGCACAAACACACACACACAAAATAAACACTACGACGGGCTCGATGGGGTGGGGGGCCGATGGGAATAGCTAGTGAGAGAGAAAGAGAGACGGTCGTGGGTCACAACGACGGCGTTTCCACTGAGAGTCAAACATGCAAGAAAACAAACAAAACGAACACAACGAGCAAGCAAACTCACCTACTGACACGATATGATACCACGGCTTTGGTTCTCTTGGTGGACAGACAGTCAAGATCAGATCCCGATCGGGTCAGCGGGATAGGGGCGGGGCATCAGGGATCGGAGGGTTCCTTCTACCTACCTACCTAAGTTAACCTAACCTAGAAAGGCTACCAGTGAGCCATATCGCTTGCCAATAGGAACTCATTGGTTGTCTCAACCCAGTGTGCGTTTATGACTCGTTTCTTTGTGTGATGCGCTTTATTGTGACGAGGATGTGCTGTGTTTGAACTACTCAATTCTTCCAGGTGGCCAACCAACTTCCGTAGGTGAGCAGAAACTCGGGGAAAACGCTATGGACAAGAATCCAAACCGCCCAGCCCTCCCTGAGACTCCTTGCAATAGCATCATCGTATCATAACTAAAGCATATCTAATCCGGCAGCACCCGTACCTGTAAGATCATGACAAGGCATTGCAGCGACACAAGAGGCTATATATGCTATATATAATGACATAAATCCATGGCTTGACGAAGTCGATTAATTAGCTGTGATGGCCTATGCCTTATCTCATTTCTTTATCCCAAATATATTCCGCTTCTTCTTGTCCTTCTCTGGCTTCTCCAGCTTCTGCGGTCGCCGTTCATCCCCTCCGGCCGGTGCTGGCGGAGCAGCCGGTCGTGGCGAGCTGTTGAGGCTCATCTGCCCCATCGCCTGCGTCGGCACCTGAGGCCGGCTCGGGAGCCCGCCACCTCCTCCTGGCACTGGTCTCCGAGCTGGTCCGCCGCCCATCGCCGACGGCGCCGGTCCCGAGGCCATCGGAGGTGCGGCCGGACGCTCCCTCTCGAAAAGATGAGCGGGCGCTTTCGGCTTCGGCCGTTCCATAGGTATGTCCAACCGCCGCTTATCAACGGAAAGGTCACCAACTTGGCGTATGAACAAGCTCGGTGTGACCATGTGGCTCGTTGCGAGGAAGACGTCTCGCCCATGCTTCGCGGAGACCTCATAGCATGCTCGAGACTCAGAGTATGTAGCGCCTCCAGCCATGAAGACGATGATTCGCTGGCGATTCTCGACCACGCGTCGACCAGCCCCTGCCCAGCTCGGTTTGGCTGCCCGTAGTGATGCCTGACCAGTCATCATGTCCTCATTAGGGTCCAGTGGCGGCTTGACATATGGGAAGACAGTCGGGTCAAGCGTGCCCGTGCATAGACTATCGAGCATGTGTTTCAAATTAGGTTCGAAACGGGAGAGTGCATACTCCTCGAGTTGAGCTGGGTTTTTGGTAATGGGGAATAATGGCGGTGGAGTTTGGCGGATATCCTTCAGTCCATGGGTGATGCGCGCCCCAAGCATCTCTAAGTTGCTGATGATTTCACCTTGTTGAGGTGGAAGATTAGCGTGGGCGAGCAGTCTTTTCACGTCTTCGAGTATCACTCCGTCTCGATATAGAATATACGCGATTATCAGTCGAAGTCGGTCTGATGTGACAATAGACTCGTCATCCAGAAGCCGTACAACCTGTTCGAGGATATTCTTGGGCTTTCGAAAGTCTTCATCTAACCCAGTTGCCAGTGATTGTTCCACAGATGCTAGGTCAGGCAGTTTGTGTTGCTGAAAGACATTCATACACTCCTCTGCCATGGTCAGATGTAGCGAGTAGGCTTCTTTCATTTCCTGGAATTGTGGTAGACCAGCCAACATGTCTTTGATCGCATTTAGACTCGTGGTGTCACCATTTTGGTCAGTGAAGTTCGGATTCTGGTCGAGAAACTTCTGGAAGTCACCCATCAACTTATCGATGGTATCCTTCATATGCCGATGCCTATTTTCGACCCAAACTTTGTCCTTCTCTTGGAGCTCCATATCCTTCTCTTCTGGATTGGCAGATCTCGAATTGATAGTCATGTGGAACGTGGTTTTGTCCCCTTCCTTTATAGGCAACAGATCATGTGCCATTGCTTGGTAGGTAAACTCGTGGACTATAGGTGCCATGAGATCCATCGACCGATCTGCTATCATGAGAACGCTTTGCGGTCTTGACGAGGGCGGCGGAAAGCCTTGATTCCACTGTGCATAATTGTCGAGTTCTTCTTGAATGAAGCGGGCAAGATGCGAGCATAGTACGCTAGCTTCGTGTAGAGGATTCCTTGGTCGGTAATAGCGGACTTTTGGATACTCTCCCAACGATACGCAAATGCCAGTGATCTTTCCATGGTGTTAGTACACAACATACGGTTTCCATGAGCCGGTTTCAACACCTACCTTTTGCGCCAAGTTCTGCATGTGCTCTCGCACTAGGTGATTGCATGCCGGGTGATACAATATTGGGAAACTCCAGGGATCACGGAAGGTGATTAAGTGTGATTCCCGCGGAAAGAAGTCTATATACAAAGTTTCGTAGCCAGCCCGCTGCTGCTGGGCTTGGGGAGAGGAGTCTATCCGCCGGCGGAGTTGGGGGTCTAGAAGATCGATCCACACAAGGAAGGACTTCTTATACCGTCGTCGATCAAAATCCGCCAGCAGACAGTCGACAATGTGCGGCTGGGGAGACAGGATGTAAATCGCATCCATAGTCGGGTTCATCTCCCTCTTCTCCTCGATCTGCTCGATATCTGTGGGAGCTTTAGCATCCGAGAACTTCTCCCGACCTCTCTCAACGCATTGGACATACTGGCAATGTTCTGGTTGAGGATGTCATCTTCCTTGACCACATTGTCTATTATCTTCTTAGTCGTTTCGTCTAGAACGAGGACTTTCCACTAGAGTATTCGGTCAGTCGGGTTGATCATCGGCCGTCTCGATAGGGAATGCGCTCACATCGCCTTGTGTAATGTCCTTGATGGTAGAAAGTATCACTGATTTGATGTTAGCAAGGGTCACCCAGAGGTTTACGTCTTCGAGCTGGAGGAATGCTGACCATCGTGTTGAATCTGCAGGGCAGAGACACCCATCTTGGCGGAAGAGATGCGCACTGCGCACAAGACACCGCACTACGCCTTTTGCAGGCCTAGAAGGAGGCAGACGCAGGCGGCGGCACGCTATTCGTGGAGGGCAGGCTTGGGAGGAGGGCGACGAGGATGACAAGGTGATGTGCAGCGACTAGAGCATGTGCTGCAGAACAGCCAAGGCAGGGCGACCGGTTGATTATCGGGCGGCGGGCGGTATGTCTCGGAAGACTGCAGTCAATCGGTCCAGTTCAGGGGATCGGGATATTGTGCGGGCGGTGTTTCAGACCAGGTGCAATAGCGATTTGGTCGTCAAGGATAATGGAAGCTATGTCATGGCATGGCATGGCATGGAGCTTTGTTGGAGCCGCAAGTCTTGAGGGGTGCCTCCTTCCCCACATTGTGCGCTACACAGTACTTTCCAGATGGCCTTGCGCCGCCGCCAGTGATAGAGACACGCATGACGCCAAGCCCAGCTCCACCCTTCCGCCGCGCGGGACACCTTAACCTGGCAGGTGCGTTTACCTAACATTCAGTGCTTGTCTTAGGCCCTTTCGCAGTACCAGTAGGCGGCTGCAGCACTACTATGGCAAGCCTCACTGCCAAACTAGAATGGAAGGATCGAGCTGTAACTTAAGCTGATGTGGCTTGCCCACGTAACGGCTTGCTTGAGTGACTTGGCAAGCCACACCTCAATGGAACGGAACTGGCATTGCGAGTATTGCACGAGGCATCGACAAACCCTCCAGGCTTCTAGAATGACACGCAATCTGGCTCTATCGTATCTCTGAACCTCAAGACAGCAAGTATCCCATACAATTATCCTAAGTATCGTTTGAACACGCTTAATCAGTAGCCGTCAACTCAAGTCGGCGAAAGATCAGTGGTCCTTTTACGTTTACAGGTGTTATGCTTATCAAAGCAACCACAAGCATCAAACTAGAGTTCCCTTAGCAGCATCGATATCCGATTTCCGCCTACGAATCAGGTAATCAAACGTTGAGATCGGCTACTCTCAGACTCCTCGACTAGGCTATTGGCCTATCTGGAATGAAGCCGTCCAAGGTCTATGTGAAAGAACTTATCTCTTTCAGGGGCAATTTCCAGAAGGATTCCTCCTAGATAGCCTACGACGGGAGCTTGCTTAAAGAGGACATCCGCTTGCCTAAGGGAGGTAGCTTATTGCCCAAAACCATTCCGCTGTGGAGAAGTGGAGAGCCCATCGGAAAGTCGGGGATTTACAGAGCAGTACAGTACATAGGAAGTAATTAAGCAAGGCCGGCTAACAACGACACTTCTCAACACCCCATACTAATCAACTGGATCGGAGTGAACTCCGACGTAATCACGGCCACCTCAAAACAATAACAAAGAATCAGCTGAGAGCCCTGGAGCTCTCGTCTACCGTACCCTGTTTAGGGAAGGGCTGCCTTGCGATGCGACCGAAATGGTGTGCACCGGCCGTAGCCAAGGATTCCGCCCTCTGCTTACCTACATAAAGTAGACTCGATAAAGTGCATCAAATAGGTACGGTAGGAGTTTCATGTCTGCACGCCGCAGACCAACAGCGCAAACCCCCTCCACAGTGGCGGCTCGGCCCAGTCATTCGGGACTCTTGTGTATGCCACAACGTTGCCCCCAACTCGCGTCTCTAGTGTCAGTCAGTCTCTCTGGAGGGCAGAACTTGCAGGAGGATCCCACAGGGCGGATGAGGCTGGGAGAGCCAAGATTGTCAGCTCTCCCAAAGGGCACCACACATGAGAGTGTACGCCATCTCACCTGCTGCCTTGGTCAGCAGCCACTGCAAAGTCCCAGCCTGTGGCGGTTTTGACGGGGGAGGCGTGCGTATGCATCTACTTGTGACCTCTTATGCCGCCATGGCAGCTAGGTAGCTCCCGAGACCCAAGTCCGGTCACTTGGGACCGATGGTCAGACGGTCAGAATCTGACTGCATAGGTATGGTATGGTTTGGTATGGTACGGTCAAGCTCGCACTGGTGTGGATATGCGACATACAGCAGCCACGCATATAGTTCGCCTCATATGGCAAATGGTCACACAACATATCGGGCCTATCAGCTCCCCGTGCTCGCGCGCGCGCGCGCGGGTGCTTTCCGCCCAGTGACATCTCCTCCCTCCTTTCCGAGCAACGGGGCGGAAGCCTGGATGGCAAATGTAACTGCACCGTTGTGAGCGCGGTACGGCCGGAACGCCCCTAGGAGCAGGTAGGAGGGTCATGGAAGGCTCGGGAAGTGAGTCGGGGGCAAGTAGGCTTCATGTGGCAGAGCACCGGATCACCTAGGACACGAATAGCCTTTGAGAAATTGCAGAATGGGCCGTAAATAACCAAATAGAAGCGTCCATCACCGGGCGGGAACATTATAGGTGAAGGCTTCGTGTAGTTTATACCCGCTAGGAGCTTCGGGTGGTCTCGAGTTGACCGAGGACCGTTTGGAGGACGACTTACACCATTATAACCGCCGTGTCTTGATATTTTCATTCACCGAGAAGGGCCTTTGCGGAAGATGGTGTCCAATGGCAATAGCACTGTCCGCCTAGGCCTCGCATTCTAATGCCCAGCTCCGTGAGCTTGAAGGCCTGATCGACCAACGGCATGTTGTCATCGACACTGCTGTGACGGGTGAGGCTCCCATCCTCGACTTAAAAGCGAGGAGCTGCCCGGAGACGCTTCACCTCCGCGATGTTAGCAGCCGTTGTAAAGCCTATCACATGGCCCTCTCCCTTGCCTGCATCTGCAGACTTGCATCAAGGCACTGACAAACAGGGCCCCGTGCTGCAAGGAGCAGGCAGGCAGGCAGTAGTGAAAACCCCCTAATCCTCCTATGCCAGCTGTCTCTTGGTGGGTAGGTGGTGCAGCTGAGTGCTCTTCCCCGCCAATTCATGGCCCCAGCAGGCACTGCGGATAGCCTAAAGGCCACTGAACAGGCCGTCGTGGAGGCGGTCAGGCTATTGCGCGACGTCGCGACAGACTCTTCGGCCCCCAAGGTGCTAGTCCGCATTTGCGCCTCACTCGCTCCTCTGTGCCTGGGCTTGCTGGTGTTGGATGAGTAAGGGTCGAGGCAATCTGCTGTCTTCTCCAGCACCACGCCTGTGGCCACCCCAGCTTGTGTGTGTGTGTGTGTGTTTTGCTTCTTACCGCACCGAGATCCGCATGGGGTTCGTCCGGACGTCTTGCATCGCCCTCGAGACTGAAAATGAGACGCGACGATCGCGATCTACTACCCCGTAAAACGCCGTCATGCAACTGGCAGCTGGCCGTTGCTCGCAGCAGATATGACGACACCGTTGCCCAGCTACTGCACACTGCACACTGCGAATTGTACTGTAGTCGATAGGGGGGGGGGGGGGGGGGGGAACCTTTGGTCTGGGAGTAGGTATCCACCCGGAGCGGAAGGGCGGGATCGAGAGGCGCAGGCCCGATGAATAGGTGATAGAATGGGGACCTCGCTTCAGCGCTCTCAGGTGATCACCCCGACCGTGTAAGTGAGCCCCGGAAACCCGACGGCGTCAAAGAGCGAGAAATGTGAAGAGCCTGGCTAAGGCAAATAACACGAACAACAGAGGCTTGCTATGGTCTCATTCGGTTAATTTACATGCCTAGCAATACGAACATTGAGTTGTCGTGCGTTTTACTGAGATAACAATCATGACCCGTAAGGTGCAGATAGTAAGGCAGGTTAGAGTGAGCTTCAGCCACAATTGACCTGTAAACCATCATCTCCCTTCCAAAGACCTCGTACGGCAGTATTCGGTGGTTCACCCGGCCATCGGTGCAGGGAAGTATTTCGGGCTCGTCTTCCGCTGCTGTACAAACTACGACCAAGTCTTTTCATGGATGATGCACTTTGACAGGTGTTTCCCGCCAAGTTTCCCGTCCGTCCAGGGATCTGGGATGAGAGGGAAACCACCTGCCCTACAGGGCTTATTACCAATAATCTGATCCGGCTCCGTCAAGATCTTAGCTCTGGATTATTGATATTACCCATACGTCTTAGGCTTCATTACTGGGCCGTTTCCACTCGAATAAACCCTTGCTTTTCTCTTTCTTTCGCTAGCCATCGACCCGTGTCCCCATATGGTGCTACTGTAGCACAGAGCTATCGCCGAACCACCAGAACACTGGTGCCCCTGGAGTGCCTATATTTGGATTCCGGAAATAAGGAGGCGGCCCCCACAGGCATGTGAAGTCGCGTGTAAGTCAGGGGATCGCACGAATCATTCACACGCACTCGATCAATCTAGCCAATTTGTCTTGGGAAAGCTTTATTGGAGGCTCTATCAAAGGCGCTCCCTGGTATCATGGGACGAAGCGAAACTCGGGAAACTAAGTACGTACAGGTACAGTAGCAAGGAGCACGCCGGCTCGTTGCATGCCAAGAAAACCAAAAGTAAGGTCACAAGTTAAAGAGAAAGAAGAAGTAGGTTTTCATATCCTAGCCATCAGCTCTCAAGCGGTCGAGAATTGCCCCCTAGCGGCGATGGTGTCGAGGATCTTGACTTCCGCCTCGAAGCTCGACCCAGCCGCTGCCCATTTCCTGATCTTCGGCACGACCATTGCGTAGAGCCCCTCGATGTCTGGCGTGAACGGTCGTAGTTGCGGCGAGGAGTTTGCGATGATGATCATGAGCAACGCTGCCATGGCACTCTGCGAGAAGGTCCAGAGGTAGGGAGACCGCTTGTCGAGCATCTCGGATACATTGTAGAGGTAGGCCTCACAGGAGGCGATGCAGGTCGTACATTTCTCCAGAATGAGTCGTGGGATTTGATACTGCGGTTGCGGAGTGGTTGGCTGCGAGCCGGGCGCCGGTGACGTCTGCAGTGCAACGTAGAGCACGAATGGTCGGTGAATGATGTGTCGTGCAGCGTAGTATCGAATTCGTAGCACTTTTCCTCGCTCGCTCGTCATGGGCTCTGTGCCTATGGGAGGACGTACTCTTCCAGGTATCGAACTATACCATTCTTCCAACTGTCTGTTAAGCTCCGAACTGAGGGCCATCAACTTGTTCAGGCTTATGTTGTTCGGGCCGCTAGAGGGATCCGTCACTGCAGCAATGTCCGAGTTGTCCGAAGAATAAAGCGAACTATGTATGCGGTTGAGGAGCCTTCTGACGGCTGTCTCGGCTACAAAGTATATAATGTCGTCTGTTTCGCTCGGGTCGAGGGTCCTTGGTAGAGGCATCTTGTCTGCCATGGGCTCAATGCCCGTCCGTACAACATCGAGCTCGGCTGCCCTATCACTACGTTTTATTAGTTTGATGCATCAAAACATGCGCACCGCCAATGAGAGCCATGTTGTATAAAATGAGAGTTTCAAAGAGATGGAAGAGTCTGTTTCTGTAATGTCTGCGACGCGTCAAGTCTCAGTAGGAGAAGGTGCAGCTGCTTCATGCAGAGTATCGCATAGGCTATCCATCTCGAAGTTTGGTTGTCACAACTAAGCATCCATGTGTTTTTCTTTCCAGGACGGGAAGTCGAAGTATAGATGACGTACCATTCTATCATGAAGCAAGACCAAAAGACACGTAGGTAGTTGTCGTCATGTTCGTTCAGAAGACCGGCTCGTCGTTGTCTGCAAATGGTTAAAAATTCCGCAACAGCCGCATCAAAATCACTGCAAACCTACTTGTGTGTCAACTGCAGGAATTTATGGGAGGCATAATGCACCATCTTCCAGCTGTGAAGGGGTCTGCCCAGGTGGGCGATGTACGACGCTGCCAGGAGTAGTGCCTGGCATATTTGCACATCTGGCGTGAAGCCCCAGACGGTCCTACATAGAATCAATCGCAGGGCTGGCACGAAGAAGGAAATACCAAGAGTGTCAAAATCTCTGGGGAGTCGGGCAGACGGGGTATTAGAGACAAAGATAGAGCCGAGTGCCCATACGCAGAGGCAAATGGCAGTCTCGGCGTCCTCTGTGAGGCCATTCTCCAGAACGTTGGAGTAGAGAGTTTTGAAATACTGTCTTGTGAATAAGGGATAAGTCGGGTGGACGGCAGTAAAGTAGACATCAGTAAGCAATTCTAAAATACCGGGGTCCGGGGCCGGTGGCCAAGCGATAGGTTCCTGGTGAATCAGATCAAGCGGTGGCGGGAGCGGAGATGTTTCCTCAATGTCGTAAAAGTAGTTCTTGGGGTAGTCACCGGCCAGGGATCTGACGATCGGCAGCGAGAGGAGCGAGACGGCCGCGGTGGAATGGTCATAAGGGATCAAGAACTGTGCCTGATCCCCGTGAATGTCATGTCCCTCGAGCGTCCGGCTGGTTACGGAGGCTGGAGAGGCTGCTACTAGCGAGGGTGAGGGCATGGGCTGGAGCGAGGAGCGACTCGGGGCGTACGAGGACGTTGCGCCGAGTGCGAGATCGTTGAGTCTCTGGCCCTGCTCCTCGAGCATGGCCTCTATCCGTGTTAGTCTTTCCACGACGGCGCCTTGGCCGGACGACTGAGGCTCGACTCTATTCGGCTTGGCGTCAGTTCTGGCGTTGCAGGAGCAAACCATGCCTGCAGGAGGCGAGTGTGTCTCACCGGTCTACCGGTAGGTCCTTGTACACACAGTCCGCGTGGGCTTCACGGCATGTGCCACAAGGCTTTTCGCCATCACACCTCCTCTTCCGGTGCCTGCAGAAGTCGCAGGCAAGTAGGGCGCCTAGTTAGGAGTAGAGACAAGGTCAGCAGCGCGCGGACATGACCGCCATGCACGGCTCGTGAAAGCACGGACGGACAGGCGAGACAAATGGGTTAGACAAAATGATATGAAAAACAAGGTAGTCGATGTGGAGAGGCAAATGATAACAGGAAAATTGAAAGCAAGACGGGGGACGACGGCATGTGGGAAAGGGAGGCACCACTTACGTTTCCTTGTGTAATTCATATCGACTGGGCAGACTTCCTCTTCTGTACACGACAGCAACTCTAACCTGGTTTCAAGATGGAGACGATTATAAACGGAGGATTGCATGAACCGGGCATCCGAGGCACGCCCCTCTTCCAGTGCAGTCGGTAGGCACGAGCTGGTCTTTAATAATGCTGCTGTCAATAATAGGAAGAGGTGAGGCATCGACTTATAAGTACGACGACGGATACCAGAGCTACCACAGCCATGCCATGCCAGAAGAAGAGGTCAGAACCAGGACAGAGCCACACCAACACAAGACAAGACAAGACAGGACAATGCGAATGCAAACGCACGACCCGCCGCCGGCAAGCGAGAGACGAAGAGCAGACGAAGCGGGAAGAGGAACAGGAAGACGGGGGCGGACTGCAAGACTTAGACTTAGACTAGGACTGGGACTGGGACAGGGACACAAATGTATGGATGGCGAGTGGCTCGACCTGTCGACCTTATGGGGCCGGCTGCGGCCACCAGGGCAAGACCGGGAGGTGACCGGGCCCTGGGGAGGTACTTGTTGACATGTTACTGGATACTTGGGAGGTGGGCGAGGTGTACGAGATTTGAGAAAGCAGCAGGATGGCGTGGAGGAGGAGGAGGGAGGAGGAAGAATGGATTACCTACTTGCGGTGCCCTGGCCTTACCTAACCCCTACCTGACCTACCTTACCAATGTACCTTGGTCTGTCCTTCTGTCTATCTGTCTATCTGTCTGTCTGCCCTACCTACGTAGGTTCGGTACCTTGCCCTGCCTTGTCTTGGCTCTACATGACATGTACGTACATAATCATGTACGATACGGTAAGTACGTACGGGAGGTACGTATCTCTCCGACAACAACGACAACGACAACTTGGGCGGAACGGCTAACCTAACCTCATGCAGGCGGACAAGATGGATGCCTCTGGGCTGGATGCGCCCCATCACCCGTCAGACCGTGCGTGTGCGTCTGAGTGCGTCTGAGTGTGTGTGTGTGTATGTGCGTGAGCGTGGGAGTGCGAGTGGGAGCCTCCGGGGGTCGCTTGACGATGGGTGATAGGTACGTAGGTAAAAATGATGGGATGAGATGCGCCGCGGATGGGCGATCATCCAGCGACCGGGGCAACCTGGGAAGGTGTGTGGTGCCCTGGCCGACTGCTGGGACAGCCTGGGACACGCCGGGAGACGGGGATCTGCTGCTAAAAAGAGGCAAGCCAGGCCCGCTATTGCCGCCGTTCCCCCCCCACCCAAAGCCGCCCCCCCAATACGCCTATAATAAGGTAACGCCTACCTACCTGACATGCCTAGGGAGCTAGCTACCGCCACCAGCTGCCACTACCTGGCCCTACCGTTAGGTCATCTCGGGTTACATGTGTAAGCTGTATATACGTATTACCCATCCCATATGGCCGGTTCGTACTCCATGGGGAGATCGATCGTCCCAATGTCGACTCGTGCGTGCACTCGCCCAGCACGGCCCGTATGCATCTATCCAGAGTACTCAAGTTCAAGTACAGAATGGTACGAGGCACGGGCATATTGGAGGCATGCCGCTGGTGGGTCGAGTCCCCGTACAAGGTACTTACCTACCTTACTTACACGGATCGATTCTATCACAAAAAGTGGCATGCACGCGCTAATAGGGGCGACAGAGTAAGCATTTGCCTGCTTCGCCTTCGAACGACGACTTGAGTCATCGCAGAACTTTCATAGCAGGTCTCTTGCATCTCACCCCATATTCGTGTCCGGTGTCGTCACTTTGTTGGGCCTGGTCGGGTATCTTGGCCTGTTCTGGCGGTTTCTACCTTTCTCTTCGCTTCTTCAGCATTCATCGATGGCGCATCGCGAGGCGCAGGCCATGATATGCAAAAAGTTCGTACCCAGTGGCACACGAGACCCAGCATGACACTATCGAGGACCCAAGGACCAAAGACTCGGGAACTAAATATGCAGCCAGACCACCGGGTTTGTTGCGCTTCCCTCGTTCTCGGAGTTCCTTGAAGAAGGGGGCCAGGGGCGGCGGGACGATGAGGCTTGCGGAGAGGCGCAACCGGTACCTTTCGTCGACGTGCATGACGAGCAGCTCATCGCCAAGAGAGAGGGCCATCGTCGAGCAGCCTCCAATTCACTACTTTGCTCCTATTCAGGGTATGGAGTATTCAGGTGATGATGGTGGCTTGCTCGGCCATGTCTGTTTAGCCTGTGCTTCACTAATAGTTGGCGGGCAGATGTTACCCTCCTGCTGTGCGTGCGCTTAAACCACTGACGTTGGCTGTCACTTGCCTTGCAGTTACGAAACTTGCCTTGCGCTAACACTTACACCGACAATCACACGAGTACACTTCGCACTCAATCTCAATAGGTCCATCCGACCCAGGCCGCCGAGGCCGAGCATTCCCGGGCGGCGGCGTGAGGACGAAACAGACAGACGCTGATGGAAACAAGGGGAATGGCAATTCCCCATTGCAGATCTTGGAATTCAAAAAGAGACCTCTGGGCTGACCGGCAATGCTGGATGTTGGATGGCGATGGAGGTACATTTCGAGCACCGAGCTTCCAAACGTTCCGATTGTCGAACGCGGACTCGCCGTCTGCCGCTAGAGCCGGATTGAGTGGTTGCACAAATACTGGCTGGGTGGCTTGCCGCAAGTCGTCGAATCCTCTGGATCTTCTAGCTGCATTCAATGTAACATGTACGATCATGCGGTCCTTTTCAGGCTGCGAAACAAACCAAGGGGGTTCTTTCGCGACATCTTTGTTCAAGGTGGAACTCTCCTAGCGGACAGGTCGAATTGGCATCCCATGTGGACAGCATGTTGTCGAATGTGGTAATTGCATCTGGAGCTTGAGCATCTGGGATTATTTGTCAGACTCTATGGCCGAAAAAAAGCCTAAAGCCTCTCGTATGACATAGCCGGCACTACTACTTACGTTAGTCCACCAGACTGGGGTCTGAATGTTAACTAATGATCCCAGCACCATCGTGAAGATCACAGGCGTGTAATGTAATCCCCGCTATCTACCTAGCTTTGACGTTAGTGCCAGCCTGACAGGGCAGAGCACAGACAGGTTTCCCGAAATCCCATCATACACGCACAGTACATGTACGTGTAGGACCCAGCGGGGGCCACTCTGCGGCGGCGACGACGGCGTCACGGCGAGCCTTCGGGGTGCCGGCGTTACGATTCGGCGTCTGCTTGTTGAGGTCGACAATGCATTGATTAGGATTGATAACACCTACCGCCGTACAAACAGCGAAGTCTAACCTCGAGCAGCTTTGAGATATCCCGGGAATGACGACACCACAACGATACGACACGGCGAGGGGAATGAGTGCTGTAATCGGCGACTGCCAAGAGGAAGGGGAGAGGGAGGAGCCTTCCTCAGCCTCGCTTCGTCTCCGCTGCCTGTCGTGTCCTGCTGTAGCTCTAGCTCCACCTCCTCCGTGTGTCCGATTGTCGTGTCCTTGCAATTCCGCTGTTCGTGATCCATGAGTAATCACAAAGGTCGGTCCCGACCTGATTGCAGTGCACGAGGCCCGGACCAGGCCGTTCGGCGCGCGCTGTTTATGTAATCCCGCTGGGTCGGCGATGGCGGAGAGGGGGTGGACCACCCTTTTCCTTGGTCACAACGCTAGACCTTCCGCCCAGCCCTGCCAGTTCCTTCCTTCCCGGTTATGCCTTCTGGAAGGTAATTACCACTCTCTGACTGACAGCTTATGCAACCCTGACACAATCTGGAAGCCAGTGCAGTGTAGTGTAAACAATGTCCCGCAGGTGCTAGCGGCTCATCAGTCTGCTCCTACCCTACCAAAGTTAGGTAATTGAAGCTAGGTAATTAATTAGTTAGACTTCAAGATGTCAACGTAGGTAATCGCTTACTTTCGATATCCTCATCTTTGGAAAGCATCGAGAACTTCCAACCTGTTTCGTTCCCATCGCTGACAAAGACCCTTTGACTTCCTATGCTGGCTTGCACCTTGGAAACCGGTATGTTCCTAGGAACGCTGAGCCCTGCCACCGGGCTACCGGGAGACTAGCGCAACATCGGATTGCTTTCATAATCCGAGCAGAGAAGAGGTCATCGCATTGGCTTGCGCCATACCGTACTTCGTCGAGGGCCGTCCACTGAAGGAGGGGATTCTAGGACATCACAGGACATTCTTTGCAGATTGTCGACCGCCGCTAATGCACCTCGAATGTTCCCAGTGGTTTGGGCCTAGCGTCATTCCGCATGGTACTTTCGGCCAGTCTGGGGCTTGCTTCGGAGTTACTTCCTGCACCACCACAGGCTACCAGCAATTGTGCAGTACCAACACACCAATCGATCGTTGGCGATGTTTCCCGCCGATATAACAAGCCACGCCTCAATCACCGACAATGGGGCTCCGTAACGCCGCTTCATCTCAGCCCTATCCCAGCTGGGTCATTATATCCAGGCTTAGTCAACTTCGAGCGTTGCCTCTTGCTATCTTGAAACGACATTCAACGTCACGTTGTTTAGGCTACTTGATCATTGGCGCATCGCGCGGTGATTTCTGTAATTTGATGGTCCCAATAGTCCCGAGTTTTGGATCAGACCACACGTTGCCATGTCTGCTCTGCCATCCAGCAGGGATGAGACATCGACAGAGATGGAAGCATCCCGCAGGTACGAGACGTGCTGGGGGCCGGCCGCTCGCCTAGCTCAGTAGCCAAAGGCTCAGACATCAAGTTGATGTCTCCTAATCCACCTCTGGCATAGTTGCATAGTCGTGATCGTCAACGGCCAAAGCCTCTCGATGACTTTCGTTATTTGTCAAGGCTCATCTCCTTCTCTGAAGCATTCTCCTCGCGTTCCTTCCTAATGTGGTATCAAGATGTCGGTAGTGGCGATGCTGCAGACTTCGTCTAAGCATAATTCCTTGTCGTTGATTACCCCTATCCACTTTCGGTCGATCTGATGGCCCCAAGTGCGGTGAGGAGACACTAGGCTCTCCTCTATTCTATGTTCTTGGTGCATCACCGCCTGTTACTCCTTTGCGAGGCGAGACGGTCCGGTGGAGAGGATAGACAGGATTAGTCGTCCGTCTCCCTAGCTCGAGGACGATGATTTCCAGATATAAAGACTCCTCGAAACCTGATTACGGCACAGATGACTTATCCAACTTCGCAAGAGTGCTACACGAAGCTTCTCATTTTAGTCGTTTAGTGATCATAATGGTTTTCGGTTTTATTAGCAGGAGTGGCAAGTTGCTGCTTGTCTGTTTGGCCGTCGTCAACTCGGGTAAGCTGTTAGACAGAACTCTATTGGAGAAGATCCCTGACTGACAGAGCTACACAGTGTCCATGGCCCACTTCGGCTATGACCAGGTTTGCAGACTCTTCCCAGGCAGATGGGGTGTCTTTCATACCCTCACTCACATTTTCACTCCAGGGCGTGTTCTCAGGAGCTCTGATCTCCGCTGACTTTGTCAAATACTTCCCCGAGACGAAGATTGCCAACATTTCGGGCATTACTTCCAGCTGCTTCGCTGTGACTAACCCCCTCTCCTTTCCTTCTCCCTCCCTCGTTAGGCACACATAAGGCTTACCCCTTATTCAGCTAGGAGCCTTTTTTGGTTGCATTGCAAGCTTCGCATTCGGGGACCACCTCGGCCGGAAAAAGACCGTATGGACGGGTCTCTCCCTGAATGTCATTGGCGCAGTCCTTCAAATCTCCGCCTTTCATCTGCCTCAGATGATCCTAGGGCGGATTATCAATGGCTTCGGCATGGGAGTGACTTCGTCCACATGTCCCATCTACATGGCAGAAACCTCCCCGTTTCAGCTTAGGGGCAAGCTGGTCGTCCTTGGGTCCGTCTGCAACACGGTGGGTTTCTGCACTGCCAACTGGATCAACTATGCCCTCTACAGCGGCAACGGACCTTTCCAGTGGCGATTCCCGCTAGCTTTTCAACTCGTCTTCCCGCTAACTGTGGCTCTCTTCCTTCCTTTGGCCGTAGAATCCCCACGGTGGCTGCTCCTGAGGGATCGATATGATGACGCGAAAGCTGCACTTGCCAAGCTTCATGGCAAGACAGAGAACCTCGAAGACAGAGAACTCAACGATGAACTCAAGTCAATCTGGAGGACCATACAAGATGAACGTAAAGACCGCGTTCCGATATCCGATGTGTTCTTGTTCAGGGACTCAACGCAGAACATGCGACGTCTCTTGCTCAGGTGAGATTCCGCTACATTTTAATCAGAGCTAGACTATTAACGCTTTCCAGTTGTGGTACTCAACTAATGCAGGTAATTGCCTTCCCTATCAAGTTCTAATCATTCCCCATTATCTCGTTTCCCAGGTCTAACCTACGACTGTTGTAGCAATTTTCTGGGGTCAATGCCTTGGGTTATTATCTTCCCACTCTGCTGATTCAGTCAGTTGGTGTCTCTAAAGCTTATGCTCGGCTACTCACTGCCGCGAACGCCACACTTTATCTCGGAGCGGCCCTGTTATGCTTACTCTTGATTGACCTTGTAGGGCGGAGAAAGTAAGACTCTCCTATCAACCTCAAGAGGATATTGATAATAATTCTGCTAACGGTCACACAGGCTTATGCTCTATGGCTCGGTAGCCACAGGCTGCTGTTACCTCATAGCCGCCATTACACTCAAGGAAGCCGACATACATCCTGATAATAAGAAGACTCTAGGATCCGTCACGACCTCCATGTTCTTTCTATACTACTTCTGCTATGGAACAAGTTTTGCTAAAGTGCCATGGGTGTATAACTCAGAGATCAACAGCCTGGGATGGCGGACCAGAGGCGCTGCCGCAGCTACAGCTACGAACTGGCTGGGCAGCTTCATAGTTGTGCAATTTACCAAGGTTGGTGTAAACCATTTGGGCTGGGCTTTCTACCTGCGTAAGTCTTATACCGCCATTTCAGATTTATCCTTCCTAGAATTGCACGAGAATATTGCTAATGTCTTGTTCGACTAGTCTTCTCGTGCTTCTGTTGGTCTTACTTCCCCATCGTCTATTTCCTGTATCCAGAGACTTCACGGCGGACGCTTGAAGATATGGACGAGATTTTCAAAGACAATTATAAGTTCTACGTGTTCAACAACCCACTCCTGACACAACGAGCACGACCGCAAGAATTCATTGAGGCTGAGCGGAGACGGATCCACATGGATCCGGACCATCCTCATGATATTGAGAGATTCAATCGGGAGCAGGCTCTGTTACAGAACCTCAGGGAGCTTTGATCAACGACGGTCTTGTCTGTCTCTTGAAAACGCATAAACTGAAGATGCAGATAAGCCCTTGTTGACTTGCAGTCCCCTTGCCAGACCACCTTTCCTGACTATTGGCCTATGGTTTACGAATGTGTAGGCTGCGTCTCGGTGTTGTGAGCAGTGACACGCTCTCTTTCTTTGAATTACATCGCCTGCTTGTACTTGCGGAACCCAAATTGGATATACCCAATCCCCCCTAAATTAGATACACAGCTATTCGTTACACAGATAGATGGTGGAGTGGAAAGCCTAAGTAGATCTCTGACTAGCATCAAATAAAGTCTTTCATTTGTGCGCGTGCGATAAACTAGCCTTTCAACATGTTAAAGTGAAAAGGGGCTGTCACCCACTGTACCTCACCGGCCCCCATGAACGTTTGATGACAGGTCAAAAATCTAATGGCAGTGTAAATGCAGGATTTTGATCACACGGAAAGTATGAAGTCATCTCAGTCTAAATCCAAGAACAAAAGCCGCTGCAATACGATGGTGTTTGGATTCCGCCGGTCTCCAGTTAGGGGAGGGGGGTTGCGGCCCCCAAATCACTTCAAGCTATTAACCGACCTTCGCTCAGGCCTGCGCCTCGTTAAGCGACTTACCTGTCTGCCCGCCCCCAAACTACATGTAAGTGGAAATAGGTGCCAACCCTCAGAAGACGTCACCCAAACTAGACTAATATTTACTTGCCAGACAAGGTCGTGATTTTGGAATTATCTACTCGCTATCTAGACAATTGTTCAGAGAATGCTGTCACGGAGTTGCGGTGTTCGGTTCAGCACCCGAACGCTGGCCGGGTGTTGCTTTGTCAGGCGCAGATCCCGAAGCAAGCGAACAAATCCCGATCAGGTGTTATCTTGCTTCTGTCCGTCAGTCGAACTCGCAACGACACAGTAAGACGTCCGGTCTCCCCAACACCTCTTGGCCCGCAGGAACATCAGCACGCAAATAAACTCGGAATATGATTTGCATTTCAGCTTGGACAGCTCCGCGCATGCACGCGCCCGTCCGGCCATACCCGATTGAACGGGTACGCACACACACACACCATCACTTTGCATGTTGACTTCATGCACAATGGCGGCCGCCAAAGATTTACTCATGTAATGCCCTCTGGAGCCGGTAGCCTATTCACAGCCTTGTTTGAACTCAGCTTTTCAACCGTGGTTCTATTATGGGCCGAGAGTCTTGTCTAAAATGTGTATCTCACAGTATGATGCTATCTCGTCACTCATGCATCGTCTCCTAGTGCCTCCCTGCCCGTTGGGCTCATTGGTGACTTGGCCCTGCTGCTCGCACCTTTACCTACAATTTTCTCCGTCCAGTTATCCCAGGCATTGCTGAGAGGACTGGACGTCCGGTCAGGGGCTTTCCCCTTGTTGCTCGGGGATTCCTTCTGAGATGAATCGTCTTCCTCATGGCTCTTGCGTCCGTAGGCCAGGTCCTCCTCGATCTCGCTCTCGTCTGCACTGTCTGCCCAGTCTCTATCGCTCCATGTCATAGAATCAAGCCTCTCATGGGTTGGCCTGGAGGCATGGTGTGGCGGCACCGAGCTGTGGAGTTGCTTATCCTCGGAGTCTGCTCGTGGCGTCACCGGTAAGTCGGGAACCTGATCCTCAGCTTCTCGAGCTTCACTGGCCGTGCGGCTCTCTTCCGTAGTCCTTGGACGTAAAGTGTCATTGTTGCCAGTTGTGCCCGAAGACTCTCGCTCACCATGCGTAGTATGAGGTCTGCCCTCGGTCTGGGCTTTTGTCTCTGAACCGGTCGAGTCAGGGGGCTCGTTAATATCCCGGGCCATCTCCTTGTTTGTTTCTTCGTCATCCCGAGTTCTTGCGGCCGCCGAGTCTGAAAAATGTGCATCGACCAGATGCTTGACAACAGGCCAGCCAAAGGCATTGGCAAACATACGCCGCACAATCAGGTTATTGTGCGCATCAGGCTCCAGTTTGACCAGAACTTTGCGCCACGAAAGTCCCTTGTGATAAGCCCGAGCAATCTTCTCTTCGACTTTCATACTCGAAGTGTCGATAACCTCATCCGGGTCCTTGTCTGGATTGGTATGCTTGGTATCATCGTAATCTCGAGTTGATGCCATGGAGTCTTCGTGATTCACTCCCGGGGACGGGTACGGAGAAGAACTTCCGCTGTCATCGGTCTTCTTGGAGGATGATGACGTGGTTCTAGCATATGACCTTCTACGGATTGCTAAAGAACCTGTGGGACGCTTCTTCAAGGGAGGAGGTGGGATGTCTGAAGGGTGATATACCCTATCATGGAAAATTGTGCGAGGCCGTTTTGACGGATCGACGAGATAGTCAATGGAAGGCAACTTTGGGTTCAATAAGTCGCCTGCTGATTCGAAGAAAGTTGTTCGTGGCGGAGCTGAGAGACCACTATCTGAATCTTCTGACAATTCGTGGCCCGAAGTGACCTTCGAGGCTTGCGATGAGGAGTTGTTGCCACTAGAGTTATTTTCCATTGGCAAGGTCTGGCTACGTTGATAGATCTTCTTTTGCTTCTGGCTCGGCGGCGGCGGAGTCTTGGGAGAGTCATTACTGCGGAAAAAGTTGAAGATGCCCGAAAACGGGTTCGGATTGTTAGTAGATGCCGTAGAATTAGGATCCTGCGAAGAGCCTCCTTCTTGAGAATCGGCTCCTGGCTTAAATGATGTGGCCACAGCTCTTAGACTCTGCCTGTCATCTTCAAGCGTAGCATCAGTTTCAGGTTGGGGCACTTCGTGGGAGTTTTCATGGCCGGTAGGAGTTGTTGTTCCCGTCTCGGTCTCTGGTTCCTTCTCTTCCGAAGGAGTCCACGGACTTGGTCTTGGAGAAGTCACATTCGCACCTGTGAGTTCTGCCCAGCCAAAGCCCACAACGGTCTCAACTAACCCAGCTTCTCGGCGGGCCTTTTCCACTCTACCCAATCCTTGCCAATCAAGGAATAGGAGACAACTAGTTCTCAAAGGCACGATACCATCATTGACAACATTTGAATAGACTGTTCTGTTCCGGAACTTCTTGAGTGCAATGTGGGCTGGTCCTGTAGGCAATATTCGTAGGAGAGGCTTTGACTCTGGTTGCACCTCTCCCATCACTCGTTTATGGGCATTCTCGCCGAGACTGCTCACGATCGCGCCCCATCCACTCCTGGCGATTGTTGGAGCTCTCCAGGTTAACCCCAAATCTTGACCCGTTCTGCCAACAAGACCGAAATCGAGTGCAAAACTAACGTACATCGGATTTTCATGGTTCAGTCCTAGAAAAGGCGACGCAAGGGTGATAAAGTTGATAGGCTGTATCAGATCAAAGAATTGTGGTGAGTGTTTCTGGATATACGCTATTGCATAAGTTTGAACGAGACCACCTAGAGAGTGGGCGATGAAGCTGATCTTGGTGATCTTGTATGCACGTGAGCACGAATGAATTACTCCATCCTCTGGCGCTTTGTGAATAGTGCTGTGCTTGTGTGACGGCTTGCCTTCTGCGGCTTGATCATGCATCACGCGTGAAAATGCATCTGAAGCCACCTTAGTAGCTGGAAGGAACGGTTGGTCGGGATATGTCATCGACAGAATATAGCGTGCCAGGCGTTTCCCGAGATACTTGATTCCCCTTTCCGTGCGAGTGGCATTTCCAGCAAAACCTCGAACGATCACCTCCTCGTCCTCGTCCTCTTCGTCGTCGTCAGTCACCTTCTGTGGCTCGTCTGTTGTTGAAGGATCTTTCCCGGTGGTTCCCGGTTCTTTGGTCGAATTTTTCTCTTGCCTTGCTGCACGCTCTTTTGCTCTTCTCGCTTTTGCATCGATCTTTGCTTGCTTAACTCCAGCATCTATGCTCTCCTTGAGAAACAGCAAATCTGCGCCGAGGTTGCTGTGCAATCCATGCGTGAGAACGACCAAGTGCACCTTCTTCTGTTTCTTAGGTACCCGGCTGGAATCCTTGGACTTTCTGACTTGAGGAGCGGTCTGAACAGCGGCACCAGCTCGATGTGGAGCACCACGTTGCTTCGATCCCTCATCCCAACCCGGCAGTTCAGGGGTGTTCCAAAGGGCTGCCGTATCTTCCACTTTCACATGGATGGCGCGAGAGAAAACTCCCTTGGGTTGTGCGGGATGGTGGCCATCTTTTGCACCAAGACTTTGTTGGAAATCGCTGACTCGGCCGGGCTGGGGGATTTGTGCCTGGTTGCCAACCACCGGGATGCCGGAGCTCAGATTAAGAGACTTCTCGTCCCGTGCGAGGCATACCTCGTAGTTGACCCCAGCGGATGCGGAGAATATCACTTGAGAGGCGACCTCTATTACCCATGTTACACTCTCATTATCATGTTCCGGGCCATTCCCAAAGTATCCGTGACTTCCGGTTCCCGCACTCTGCCGGATATCGTCGGGCACGACCAGGTGGCATGTCCATGACCCGCCAGCCTTGAGCATAGGTTCAAACTCAGGCACACCATATCTGCGAGGGTTTGCGAACTTCTCGTTTGGGTTGAAATTCGAAGGGTACGCTGCTACGGAGAGGGTGTAGGGACCGTGGACGAAGGCGGCACGCAGGGCGATGGCACATGTGTTGCGGATGCGCAGGTAGAGGAATTCTGGCGACGGGAGAATGCGGTCGTGTGACGGCGTATATGTAACGGTATACCGAACGACCTCGCCGATCTTGACGCTACCAACCTGGTGGAGGAGAAGCATTTTGTCGACGGTGCACCAAACAGACGGCGATGGGACTGCAAGGTGGTGTAAGTGGGAGGGAGGACGGCTATGCGATCGCTGATGTCATCGCGTGAGCAGCTGAACCTCAAAGCAATACAAGGCTGAGATGGCCCAGTGACACCAAGAATGCAGGAGTTTTATGTGGTGCATTCACTCGATGGTGTATGCTCTGAAGTGTCGCAAATGAAGTAAGGTTGCAAGTGATTCGAACATTAAGGGAGGAGTCCCCGGGTAGTTGAAGCTCTGCTAAACTGGAGTCTCGCTTTCGGGAAGCGATGTCATCCCGAGACTAATTTAGCGGCCAAAGAAGCTCGCCTAGGCACAGCCCACCCTGCTGGGCAATCGCGCTAGCCTTATCGCTGATAAGGTACGTACTTACACCTACAGGTGTACATCATATAGTCAAGGGGGAGAGCCTCTTTTGCTTGCAAGCCCTCAAAACACTTCATGATTGCTCATTCTGATGCTTTCAGTGTATTAAAAAAGTCTCTACAACTAGTTTGTCGGCAATTTATGAAGCTCTACAGGTACATTGATTGACACAACCGAAATTTCAATCATAAGGCTACCTAGATAGATTGATCCCTTAAATGTATCTGTCAGTACTGAAATCTCGCTACTTCGCTATACACAAATACTGAGACGAAGATTTTATTAACCAAACACAACTTAAAATAATTTTCAAATTAAGAGCAGCAATGTTTACCAGGCAGAGATGGACATCGCTGACGGTGCTGTGTACGATATGGTCCAATCCCAAACTCCCACCCTATGCAAAACTTCCATATTGTCTAGTTACCAATCTAAATGTAGGGAATAAAAGCTTCCAGCCTTACATCCCACATATTTCTATGTCTAGATGGAGTAAACACTCCAGATGAGACCGGACTTTCTCTACCTCAGTCTCTCTTTCGGACCCTCGGAAAAGTGAGCCAGACACCAGAAAGAACCAGTACCAAAGCTAAGATGATCGGCTGTAACACTCCCACCCCTTTATGAGCGGAAATAGCTCCGATAATGAATGGGAAGACTGTCCCTCCAGTCCCTCCTATAGCCATTGCAAAACCGATGGCACTGACGTGGATTTGCTTGGGCAAGAGTTTCGCTGCCATTGTCACGGCACCTGGGAACATCGGGCCTAAAAAGAACCCCAGGAACGCCACAGCCACGGCCGAGACGATGAATTGTGGAACCAACCAGAAGAGCAGTTCGAGGCCAACACAAATGACAAGGTATATAGAGATACAGATACGTTCTCCAAAACGTTCCGTTACGAAGCCGAGTCCTGCCCGCCCCGCTGCTTGTCCTGCCCAAAAGCCGGAACCAGACGCACCAGACGCAAAAGCGGGAGCTTTTCGGACTCGTAGCATGAATGTCACAATCCAGCCACCCAGGCCAACTATAGTAATTCGTTAGAATAATTCTTTACAAGTGTTCGAGATAATTTATAACTCACCTTCAACGCCCATGTACGTGAACAGGAAAAGTGAAGCAAGCCACGTAACCTTCGATTTGAGTGCTTGCCGAGTGCCAGCGCCAGAAGACTCAATATCGCGAGGATACTCGGCGTGATATGCCGCTTTGTTCTTTCGCCAGAATGCCAGATTCATCCCGATCAACTCAAATACAGATATACCGATCTTGGGGAATCGAAGTGTCAGAGTAAGATTCAGAACATCAATGAGGCGGACCTACCATTATATAATAAAAGTTGTACCAAGCCAAATGATAGTGCACCACCATCGACGTGGCTATCAGAGGCGCAAATAGCGCACCGAGTGAGTAACAGGCATGCAGACATCCCTGGACAGCATTTGCCTTATCCATTACGCCAACCCAAGCGCAAAAGCAGGCATCTGTGAGCCCGTTTCCAAAACCACTGATGGCATTGACGATTACCAGAACCGGGAAAGGTGGGTGAGCGGCGAGCACAGAGAAAGTGATAATATGGCAGACAGGGGCGAGGAACGCAATGCCCCGTTGACCAAAATTAACGTGAATTCGAGCATTGACGAATGCGGCGACTGAGTAGCCAGCAAATGGTGTCAGAAATATAAGCGAGACGATTGTGTAGTTGAGGTCATAGTACGATTCAAGCTGTAGAATATTAGCAGGTACCTTGAATTGCTATGCGGCGAGACTATGTCTACATAGGGAATCAAAGCCTAATGTCTACGGTTAGTTTATATTACAACCTTTTCATGGGATCAACTCACTCCAATCGCGGCATCATTCATTCCTGCAATGATAAATGACAGAAAAGCAAACGCCAATCGCCAAACATTCCCTCTTGGGTGGTTCCACCTCTGTACGGGGATATGTGCGTTCGCTGGTGGTATGTCGTCAGTAGTGCTGCCGCCTTCTTCTTGAGAGTTGCGATTTGAAGAGAATCGAGGCAAGCTTCCGAGATCGGGAGCAAGCTCTTCACCTCGAATGCTTTGATGATGATCGCCTCTTGAGGAATGCTTAGTTTCCTCAAGAGCGATTGTCGTAGTTGCGGACATCTTGAGGGGAACAGCTCTTTCGAATTGTTGAAGCTAACAAGAATCTTAGCGGTTGTTGCTTTCTAATGGTCTCTTATATATGATGTGTCTACCAGGTGGGGAAGCAAGTGAGATGGCTCTAAGGATTGGTCAGTCGGATCCACTTGCCGTAAGGCGAAGTCCTAGTGAGAGGGCCGAGTCAATTGCGTTAGTGATTCACATTTGATTAATGGTCTTGCTAAAATCTATAGACTGGAGTTGAACATTATCTTCTTACGCCTGAAGATTTAGTGGGCACTTTCAAGTCTAACATTTCTTTAGAAATTGGAGCTTGTCGTGTCAACTTGAGTCTTATATAATGGGGTCTATCACAAATCGTATAACATGCCTGATGGAATGCCACAACACAGGCTCATGTGATTGAGGAGGAAAGTACAGAATAACAAGAAATTGCTTGCAACTAAACCATTCAGGTGGACTGAGCATCTGGGACTAGACTTCTCATGGGACAACTGCAACGGTACGGTTTTTCGGCCACCTAAAGGCTCTACAAATATGATTGTCTATCATTGATATTTTCTCGTATCTCTGAGACATTGGCCAACCAACAGCTTAAACTCATTTGATACTGCGCACTGTAATCGAATGCCGCTTTGAAACCCGGCCTCGCAATCAACAGATTAAAGCTCAAGAGAAAATTCCCTGGCGGTTGTTAATGGTAGTACTTAGCTATTGACGACGCTGCATGGTAAGGTGAGTAAGGTTGCTCAAAAGAAAAGGAAAAAAAGTTTCAAGTTAAGCAGCAGAAGTTTAACTGCCATCTCAAAAGAATTTTGGAGCAAATTCAGAATAGGTACAACACCGAAGCAAGTATACATAAGTCGCAATGCGTATATGACTCTGGGTGTGCCGGATGGTCCGTGCACTAGCCAAGACGCTGCCTTTGCCTAACTGGCTATTTTCAGCACAGGCGCGCATTGTCGCTTCACTTTGTGGAGGCAGCCAACCGCAGCCACTTTTGACACTACACACCATCCACCATCGCGGGGATACACCTTCTCACCGACACTGGCCTCAACTCATCTGTTCTGATGGGTTGTTCATGCTTCGAAAGGCAGTCCGATGTTCGGTCTGACTCAATTGCATTACGAGGTCCAGTCGTGTTGGGCCTGCCGTCCGGTCAAGACAATTGCCAACGTACGGTGATGCCTTCGTCGGCGGCCTGCATTTTCAGCAGTCTTGATTCTTCAATGCCGCGTTGCCGATGATAAGATCAATCCATGAAAGTCTATAGGCCAAAATTTCCCTTGTCAACATGGTTTGCGCTCTCCAGCCCTCCGACACCAGCTGAACTGCTCAACAGTTTGGTGGTGGTCTGGTTTCAGCCGGCCTCCAAGCCACTCTTCACTCGCGTCATCTAGTAATGCGCATCCCGGCCACAACGAGGGTCAAAAGGCCTGCGGTCCCGCACATTTCTTGCAGCCTGGCACTTATTTCCTATTATTTCGTCCCAAGTCAGCAAGCGCTGCGGGCAGACACCGAGCAGAATCAGACAGTCATACCTACCCTGCGCCAGGATGCCGGCCTTCTGCCTTGGGCAGCGGGAGACACCCAAGTAGGGCAGCCCAGAGTTCCAATCAGCCACCACATGGGGCGGCAGTGTCTCCCGATGTCCTTGTCTTAGCCTGTGCTAGCCTGCCATAGCTCAACGGCGGCCGGCTCTTGACGGACGGGCGCCTGACCTATTTGGCAATGGTCACAGACACTTCTCCAGTACAATGCCCACATACCAATGCAGTCTACGGGTGTGGCTTCGGGAGATGGAAAAGCGAGACTGAAGAGCGAGAGTCGGCAAGGGTTTAACTTGGCTAGTCACCGGAGAGAAACCCTTGGCCTCAAGCCCCGGAAACTTGACTGCCTGGATGGATCCTGAGGTCCATACATTTTCAGCCGTGCTGCGGAGTGGCAACCACCGGGAGATTGCTTGCATTTTCTGTAAGGCTTAGGCGCAGATTAGAGCCCTATCTGCTAGGCTGCACGGAGGGCTCACAAGTACCCCTAGGAAATTGCCAATCACATGGCCTTCCTTGTTACTGACCGACGGGTGTGTGTCGCTAGGGTCCTTATCTATCAGGTGCTAAGCTTTTATATACGTCGCTAACCCCGAATATATTGCTTTCTCATCAAGGAATTCGTTTTCCAGCCAGTCTAACGTCAGAACATTCTTTCGACAGAGTTTTGATCTGATTTGCTCTGTTGCGGGGACCCAGGGAAACCATGTGCCGTCATCTGACGCCAGCGTCGAGCATTGGCGATGTCGGCGACGACTCTTCTATCCAAGTTGCTATAAGCTCCACTTACACAGAGTGAGTTCAACGTGTCCACGATCTCACTCTACCAAGCTAACACGCCGCCTATTAGACAGCAGATTGCTCGTCAAGCCGCTTCAGTGCGATCTGCCGCTGCTTCAAGCGTTGCTACACCAGAGCCAACACC